ATATATATATATATATATATATATATATATATATATATATATATATATATATATATATATATATATATATATATATACTGTGAGTTTTAAATGTGACTTGCTTATAAGGTAACTTCTTGCAATGGTGTAGTATCAGGCATTTTTGAGACTAAGGCAAAATGCTCTGCTTTTTACAATTGATTGTGAGACTTTTAAGAGCCAGAATATAATTTATTTAAATATACATTTATGTGTGTATGAATTTGTATATAGAGAATTCCTTTTGTAGGGAAGGATGTTATTCAATGTCTGTTCTGTTACTCAGAAACATGCTTATGAATTGAAATCACTCACTTCTCCATAGAGTTGAAAGGCATGTCATTATGTCATTATACTATGGAATATGTGTAATTTCTATTTAATAAAAACTTGACAATTTTAATATCTCTATGAGAAAAATTCCTACAGACCACCTGTGATATAAAATGACAGTTCTTCAAACCTATGAAATCCTCTGTTCCATCCTGACAATGACTGATAGACATTTAGATACTGTATTTAGAACTTAATTTTTTCTTTTGGGAAACTGGGTTAATTCAGAAAAAGTATGGCAAAATGTCTTTCTTTTTCTTTTTTTTTTTTTTCCCAAAAAACTGCCAAAAAACAATTAAGGAAAAATATTTCCAAAGATAAGAATGTAAAATAAAAGCTGAGAAAGAAAACTCTTCTCTGCCCAAATCACTGACCAGAGAGCCCCTGCTGTCCCTTTTACTGAATACATTGTTTTTCTTTTCCTAAATAGAAGAACAGAGTCTGAAAAGAGTCATTGCATGGTCTCATGACCAACAGATAAAACGTACACTGAACAGTTTGCTTAGTGTAAAAAAAAAAAAAAAAAAAAAAAAAAAAACATGAGTGAGTATTTTCTGTCAGTGACTACTGGTCCTGTAGAGAATTATATCATGAAGACTTCTTCACAGAATTATTAAATTTCTTCTCTTCCAACTGGAAAGAATAACTGTCACTACTGTGTTAGAAATACTCATCTGGTTCCCAATCTAATTTTATTACTGTCCACTGTCCATCTTTTTCTTTCTTGTGTCATGTTGTTCTTTAGTTAAATAGTGTTTCTTCGTGGGTAATAAAGCCTGACGTACCATGAGGACTACTATATTTTTAATCAGCCTTTGTTTTGTTAGGGTGAATTCTGTTAGGATAAATAAGCTCTTTTATTTTTTAGTGTAAGATAAATCTAATTGTCTTAGTACCTTTTCTGCACCTCTTCAAATTAATCTGATAGAATGTGGGTAAAATTTGCACATAGTGTTGCAGATGGCCTTATATAGTGTCACTGATTCTTCCCAAGTCTTATTAAAACCATTTCTGTTGATATATTCTAGGACTGCATTTGTATTACTTACTTTTCTTTAACCCAGAGTTTGGTCTTTGAATCTTTGTAACTGGTAAGGTCCTCACCTTGCAGTAAGAATTTTGCACTTCATTTTTCATCCTCGTGGTATTACTTAAGAACATCTGATTTTATTTTTATTTCTGTGTAATATTCTGATATTTTGTATTGACATTTCTCTGTTTCATATTACCATTAAATTTTATCAGCGTATTCCTATTTTTGCATTAGTATACTTAATAAGACTACTGAGAAGATAATTTACAAGCCATTCTCCCCTTGACATCATGGTTTGCTTTTCTACCCAAGTCATTGTAATTTTCTTTTTAATCTCTACTGAAATTATAATGTAATCCTGCCTTCTCTGATTTAATATTGTATGAAGTATGGTATCATAGGCTTTGTAGAAGTCCAGGTGGACTTAATCTTTTAAAAACTAGTATTCATAGTAACCGTATTGTGTTAAATATAGCCTTTTATATTTGATATTCAGAAGATTATTGGTACTTCTAAGCCACTCAGGACAGATTTGCAGGAGTATATAGTCTTTCCAAGGTCTTACATTTACACCTTTCATTGCCTAATAGAATCTAAAGCCATGAATAGAATACTTTAAATCTCAGTACCATCTGCATGACATTATTAAATATCCTGAAAGAACAGAACTGTGTACATGACTCTGTACCCCAGTTGCTAAAGCATTCCCCTGGTAGACATAGCCTGACCCCAGACCTGATCCCATGATTTTACAGAATTGTTATTTAAGTGATTTGTATAGTGATATCCAAGCCAGCAATATATACAGTAACATTTGTATTTACTCGTCTCAGTGAATATTATTCATGCAAAATAGAACACCTTCTGTAGACATATAATGAGAAAATAATTTAGGCTAATTGTTACGGGGTTCATTTGGAAAGTGAATTTTATAAACCCTCAAGTGCCATCAGTCAGAGTAGGAAAATTAATCAATCCCACTACTCTTTTTGGGTACATTTTATCTAGGATCTACTCTGGTAAATGTATTAGCAAACCTACAAATCTGGACCTTGCAAGCTAGATAGGCAGAGGGATGCCTCAGTTCTAGGTACCAGTTTAGGTGTCAGGTGTAATCTAGATATGATTATCCTAGAATAAGTCTTCAAATGCCACAAAATATTGTTTTATAAAACCACTGTTAATTTCTCTTGAATTAGATGGCAGCTGAGCAAGGCTTTTAAAGAATCTGGACTTTGGGGCAAGATATGTTCATATTGCAAAGTATTTTTGCAGAGCTAACTTTCAAATATGTTGGCTGAAAATGTTACAGCAAAGCAATAAAGTAAAACACAGCACGCATCCAGACCACTCACTCTCTTTGTGAGCACCTTTTTCATTGCTGTTAGCCAGTCTCTCGTAGCCTCTTTGGGGTAGAAGGTGTGCATTAGCCAAGACCACCGTCTCTTTGGTGCTCACTGACACAGCGCAATGAGAGAGCAAGAACAGAACAAATCCAGATGAGCTCTTCAACAGCATCTTCCTTCCAAGTCAGTCCTCCTGCAGCAATTCAGAACTGTAACACAGACTGGAATTGAAAATGGAAAGATTTATGACTTTTATGAAAGTCCTGAAGGATAAAGGTACTGAAATATCTAGCTTCAATATAATGAGCCTCTGCCAAAACCAGTTTCTCCCATATTTCAAGGGCCTCTCCTTTTCCTGATGTCTCACACCCTATTTCCAACTAGTTATTCCTCTGACACAGAGCCCTGTGCTGTGACGCTTAAAATGTCTCTCACCTCTGTCACCTTGTGCTATGCTGGGCAATGAAACATAATGTAATTTTGTGTGTGACAAAAAGCCATAGAAAGTAATGTAATGACAAAAGAAAAAACACATATTTTTCAGGATTTAATTTTGCTTAGTACCCGAGGCCAACCTGTAGTGAAATAGAGGCACCAATGGCAGAACTGGCAGAAACAGTTAACACTGGCTCTGCTGACTGTACGTAGTTCAAACTGTACACAAAGACATGGCTTTCCAAGTGCTGGGAATATTTACATACACTGGAGAACTCACTTCAACACATATTGACTATGATTTTTATGAATCTCCATCTACAGCTTTATATAATAAATCACAGGTTTAAGTCAGATTGAAAAACAAAAAACTCAATAAACAGAGCAAAAAGGACTTTCAGCCTCTTCAGAACCCACAAGGGTTTAATATAATGAATCAAAACAGTTTTGAGTCTCATTTTGTCCTCCTCTTAGGGTTATACATCTAGTAACCCTCCATCCAACATAGCAAGAAGGCTTAGGCTATTACTGGACTAAATCCTGGGGTCCTCACTTAGGCAAATCCCAGCTTGACTGAAGAGGAATTTCTGTATCAACAACAGCTTAGACTGAATCAGGATAACAAATGTTTCCCATACTCTCACAGGACACAATTACTTAGACTCTAGCCAAGCTAGTTTATTTTATTTTAGGACTGAGCTCCCCACAGTGGCTTTGATGACAGGAGAAGATAGATCTAGCAAGCAGCTCTTCGGTCAGAGTTTATTTCCTGACAGCGTCAGCACAGAGTCTACAGAGGCCAGTACCCTTCTCCACAGTGGTTTATGTTGCAACAGAGCCACATTCCTTATAAATCCTTATAAATCTAATGACTTAACAGCAGATTCAGCAAACAGTTTTCCAGAGTGAAAAAATATCCAGCATATATTTTTTTAAAATGTCCAAGATAAATCACATTTTTATACCTAGCATACAGAAAACCAGATAAACAGAATTTTCTACTCTACCTAAACATATTCAGTAATAATTCTGATTCAGTATTAACATACAATTTGCTGTTTTATGCAAAGTTGGTCATTTGACATTGTAATTGTAATAAACTGAAAAATTACATTCCATGAAATTCAGCACAGAGATTTCCCTTAAAGCATTGAAGTTCTGCTGGTTCCCAGTGTCAAGTATCCTTTCCCCCGAAAGCTTCTATTATTGTTGCCATAATTAATTATTGTATAATAAATTACTTAAAATCAAAACCTGACTGACAAGCGTCACTAAATCTCAGGAAATCTGTACTTGGATCTGGAGTTAATTTTTTAGCTGCTTTGTTTTAGCATTTTTGAGTGAGTCAGTCTTTTTTCTTCCCTCATATTTACACATTGAAATGATTTACAGATCCATTTAGTTCCAGAATAGAACTTGGTATTATAAATTATTAAGAAAGCAACTAAGGAAAAGAGCTCTAGACAGGCACCTTACCTCTTTCAAGTGAAGCTTGGTAAAGAAAAACGCACACAAATGAATGAGCTAATTTTCTACAGTTGCACTTTGCCTGCTACTTAAGTCCAGGTGAATAAATCAGCTCCAACACACTATCTCAAATGCAGCAAAACTGCCTCTTCATGATTTCACACTGTGCACTCACTCTGGTAGACTTTGCTCTGATAAATTACACTTGCAAGTAAGTATGTATGAATTATAAAGTACAAAGTTCTTCCGTAAGTATTAAACCAACATAGTAACTAAATTAAATTTCCTTGATTAACAAATTGACACTGTGATGGAGAACCACAATGAGGTTTTAGTTCAGAAAATCACTTATGTTGCTTAAATACACACAGGCAGATGCTCAAATTTACTATGTCATTTTGCATAACTGAATTAACTAGATGCTATACTGCTAGTCACATTTAAAATTGCATAGAGACAACTTGAGTTTTAAGTATTAGGAATAAACCAACCATAAACCTTGTTACCCCATGTTTTAATATGAATGAATCAGAAGCACTGCCTCAGAGCAATAAAGATGGCAGGGGGGGGGAAAGAAAGCAGAATAGCTGGTCAACAGGTTTCTATTTCAGCTTGTTTGGATCAACAAGACTTAATTAACATCAATTCAGGTCAAAACTGTAATGAATTAGATGAATCAGTTGTTGGCTATATATCTGAAAGTTGGACTGTCTATCTGCATGGCCTTTAGATGATGTCTAATCTAGCATTTACCCTCTTCAGGAGGATTCAGCCCTTAAGTTTTTGTGCTCTTTGATCCAGCCTGCAACCCACTTTGATCAGATTTCATCCCTGAAACAAGCCACAATTAAAATTGATGGAGCATTTAAGTCCTGTGCAGGCTCTGAGGATTTGTGCTTTGCATAATTTCTGTTCTTCAATAATTCATCCTCAGTGAAAGCACAACGTGAGGATTTGTAGTTCATGCACAATCAAATAAATACACATAATGAATGTTTATGAGAAGATTTTCTTGTAATATTTTAAAACTCAGTGATATGCTCTTAATTTTGTACAGGCAACACTATTATACATGAGGATGTCCACAGGGTGTCAAGACAGTATCTTTTCCCTGACACTGGTCAGTAGCAGAGCTACAGGGAAAAGTTCAAGAACACATTCTCTCTGTTTTTAGCATCATGCAGCTCAGGGAATTTCTGATACCTGTATGTTCGACACACCTAACTTCTGGTTAGTAACAGCCTTTATAAAACTTGGCTAAAGACATGAAAATACTGTATTGTAGCTTATGAAACAATAGAAGTGCTTTGAACAGATACCGATCTTGTTGAAACAGTATGCTAAAATAGGGCAGGAGAAGGTACCTCTCCATTTTGTCTATATTCATACACTCTAGGAAACACCATTGACGTTAGTGGTATGTATTGATAGATCTCTTGTCACCCTGATACAAATTGGGGTACCTGTTTTTTGCCTTTAATTCCCCATCATTGTTTGTCTCCTCCCACGTCTTTCCATTTTTCTTCACTTTCTTGGTATTTGCTCCTCTGTTGATTTCCAAACTTTTATTGGAGCTGGCAGAGCAGAAGTGAAGTGGGAAGCATTTAATTAGAAGAGAGAAGAAGGGCAACAGCATTCATTCACTCGTGCTCAGAAAGGCATCTGTTTCTGTAGATGAAAACCCTGAAAAACAATGAAATTCATCACATATCTCTCTCTCTGCTCTTGATCAAGTATTTCAGTCCTGAAAATTATACAGTGATCTTAAGGTAGGACTACATTGGTATGGTTTGGTCATATACAGATTTCAAAATAATGCATTACTATAGTGACTTATTGTTAGCCGTGTTAATTAAGATACTTAGTTTTTCAGCCCAATGACCACATATTCCTTCTCTACAATATGCTGAAGTTTTAATTATCCCTCTGATTCTGCTCAGCTTTAACTGGCAAGCATTCATTTGAATTTTTGCAATGCAGACTCTCCTATGTGGAAAGTCTCTTTACAAGTTCTCTGTATTTTAACAACTCAAGGCACACCCTTGCAAAGGAAGAATTTTACAGATCGATCAATTTACTGCTTCATCCAGCTCTGAAGTCAGTTGCAAAGACAATCTGGCTACTATATTGCAACTGTGTCTGATCAGTTATGATTTTTCTGATATGAAAAATACACGTATCTAACCCACATAATGAAAACCATCACTTCCAGCAAGGTAAAAGTAGTATTACTATAAGTTTAGTAGTCTGGATAATGATGTCAGTAAGTGTCAGTAAATATTATAGAATCATAGAATTGTTTAGGTTAGAAAATACCTTTAAGATTATCGAGTCCAATCATTAACACTGCAATTCCATCGCTAAACCACGCCCCTAAGTGCCACATCTACATGTCTCTTAAATACCTCCAGGGGTGGTGACTCCACCACTTCCCTGGGCAGCCTCTTCCAATGCTTGACAACACTTTCAGTGAAGAAATTTTTCCTAATACCCAGTCTAAACCTCCCCTGGGCAACTTGAGGCCATTTCCTCTCATCCTATTTCTTGTTACTTGGGAGAAAAGACCCAACACCCCCCTCACTACACCCTCCTTTCAGGTAGCTGTAGAGGGCGATGAGGTCTCCCCTGAGCCTCCTTTTCTCCAGCCTAAACACCCCCAGTTCCCTCAGCCGCTCCTCATAAGACTTGTGCTCCAGACCCTGCACCAGCTTCGTTGCCCTTCTCTGGACACGCTCCAGCACCTCAGTGTCTTTCTTGCAGTGAGGGACCCAAAACTGAACACGGTATTCGAGGAGCGGCCTCACCAGTGCTGAGTGCAGGGGGACAATCACTCCCCTAGTGCCGCTGGCCACACCATTTCTGATACAAGCCAGGATGACTTTGGCCCCCTGGGCACTCAGCTGGCTCATATTCAGCTGGCTGTTGACAAACAGCCCAGGTCCTTTTCTGCCAAGCAGCTTTCTAGCCACTCTTCCTCAAACCTGTAGTGTTGCCCAGGGTTGTTGTGACTCAGCTGCAGGACCCAGCACTGAGCCTTGCTGAACCTCATATAATTGACCTTGGCCCATCAATCCAGCCTGTCCAGATTCCCCTGTCAATTTTCCTACCCTCCAGCAGATCAACACTCCTGCAACTTGGTGTCATCTGCAAACTTACTGAGAGTACACAAGATCCCCACATCCACATCACTGATAAAGACATTAAACAGAACTGGGGCCAGTACTGAGCCCTGGGGAACACCACCTGTGACCAGCCACCAACTGGATTTAACTCCATTTACCACAGCTCTTTGGGTCTGGCTATCCAGACAGTGTTTTACCCAGCGAAGAGTACGCCTGTCCAAGCCATGAGCAGCCAGTTTCTCCAGGAGAATGCTGTGGGAAACAGTGTCCAGGTAAACAACATCCACAGCCTTTCCCTCATCCACTAAGCATGTCACCTTGTCATAGAAGATCAGGTTTGTCAGGCAGGACCTGCCTTTCATAAACCCGTGCTGACCAGGCCTGATCATCTGGTTGTCCTGTACGTGCTATGTGATGGCACTCAAGCTGATCTGCTCCATAACCTTCCCTGGCACCTAGGTCAGACTAACAGGCCTGCAGTTCCCTGGATCCTCATTCCGGCCCTTCTTGTCTATGGGTGTCACATTTGCTAACCTCCAGGCAACTGGGACCTCCCTGGTCAGCCAGGACTGCTGATAAATGATGGAAAGTGGCTTGGTGAGCGCCCCGGGCAGCTCCCTTGGGTGGATCCTATCCAGCCCCATAGACTGGTCTGTGTCTAAGCGCTGTAGCAGGTCCTTAACCATTTGTCCTTGGATTATGAGGGCTTCATTCTGCTCCTCATCACTTTCTTCCAGCTCAGGGGGCTGGGTACCCAGAGAAAAACTGGTTTAACAATTAAAGACTTAGGCAATGAACACATTAAATAGCTCAGCCTTTTCTTCAGCTTTTGTCATTGTGTTTCCTCCCACATCCAATAAAGGATGGAAATTCTCCTCAGCCCTCCTTTTGTTGCTAATGTATTTATAGAAATAATTTTTATTGTCTCTAATGGCAGTAGCCAGATTAAGTTCTAGCTGGGCTTTGGCCTCTTTAATTTTCTCCCAGAATAACCTCACAACATCCTTGTAGTCCCTCAGAGATGCCTGCCCCTTATTCCAAAGGTCATAAACTCTCTATTTTTTTCCCTGAGTTCCAGAAATAGCTCTCTGTTTAGCCAGGCTGGTCTTCTTCCCCATGGGCTCATATTTCAGAACATGGGGACGACCTGCTCTTGTGCCTTTAAGATTTCCTTCTTGCAAGAATGTCCATCCTTCCTGGACTCCTTTGCCCTTCAGGACTACCTCCCAGGGGACTCTGACAACCAGACTTCTAAACAGGCCAAAGTCTGCTTTCCAGAAGTCCAAGGTAGCAGTTCTGCTAACCCTGCTCCTCACCTCTCAGAAAATCAAAAACTATCATTTTGTGTTCACTATATCCAAGACAGCCTCCATCATTACAGGAAAGGCTTTGGCCCAGACTAGCAACTTGTGTACCAAGGGCTTTCAGATGGCTTGAGATGGGTGATTTATGGCTTTGTATTGCTGTCAGAAACATGTAAAAATGATACCTTTCATTCAATAATCTTGTTTAGCATACCAGGGAACTTGAGACAAAGTTCTAACAAGGCAAAACACATAAAACATATGAAATGGTCTCACTGAGTATCTTTCTGAAAGAAATTTTATGGGTGCACAGCACAAGCGATTGCTTTGGGGAAAAAAAATCCCACAAAAACAACAAAAAAGCCCAACAAAACACAAAAACCCAAACAACAAAACCAGGCCATAGAAATACTCTGCAACTTTGAGTGACTTTGAATTGCTTTGCAACTTTGGCTAAATGCACTTTGGTATCTTTGTATAGGATCAGTAACAAAAAAAATGTGCGTAACAGTTTTCACTTGTTCTTGAACTTCTGAGCTGGCAATGGCATATGAAGTGTGTTTTGTCTGACAACACAGAAGGCAGTTACTAACTGCTGAAACACACTGCACACAAGACTATTTTCAATACAGCTTCTAAATCTTTTTTACACATTCATTATTTGTGAGATGAATCATTACTTGAGAAATAAACAAAGGTATATCTTTTTGGCTGAATAGAAAACAAAACAAACACTTTCCTCTAAGAGACATTTGACTTTTCAAATGTTCAGCAACTTTTTTTTTTTTTTCAGATTTCAAAAATATTCCAAGGTCTGAAGTAAACACTAAAAACATATTCTTCATGTCTTCCTGTTGAACCATAGACTAAATTCTAAAGGCACAGAAACTTAACTGAGTTGAAAAGGGTTCACTTTCAACAGAAACACTGAAGTAGGACCTAACTTGAAAAATACATCCAAATCCATCACCATGGAAGACATTGGAAAATACTTGTTTGGTTAGCTGACCAAGAGGACTAGTGGTAATCAAAACTGTAAGTTACCCAGGTTGCTTTAGAAAACAGTATGATAGGACACACCTTGTAAATTACTTTTTTATTCTAAAGGTGGCAGAAATTGCCAGATACAATCATTGCAGGTGAAACTGTTGCAGAGTATTTGTGTGGAATATAATTTAGGTGACACCTATCTTAATATGGTAAAATTTTTGATTCTGAGGAAAGGAAAAGTATGTGCAGCACTGTAAGGACAATATATTTAAAACCAACAAACCAATCAAAAGCAGACCAAGAAACTTAGGAAACCATTTTCTATCCTCTATTGCTAGGAGTCTGAGAAAAAAAGGGTCTTTAAGGGGGCTGGCAACTGATAAGAAGTACTATAATGAAGGAGAAATATCAAACTATTTCTCATGAAGAAAGATAGGAACCATACTAAAAGTTCAAAAGGTGTTGTTCAAGAATTCTTTAAAAATTTGAAAGTCAGAATGTAATTGTGCAAATGAGTGGAATAAAAGGACTAAGAGTGACTATATAAGAATAACACAGTAACAGACTAGGATAAAATTAGAGGTCAAGATTTAAAAGGTTACTGTTAGCAGGGGACATTATAAATGGACAAATATTCTATAAATGCAGTGGAAATAAAAAGTCAAAACCAAACCCCCATTATTTAATGAAGGAGGAGGGCAAATGGCACAGATTTGATGTCTTTTTGTATTGCAGACTTCATAAACAGTGATCAGATCCTTCATTAAAATTAATTTCATTAAGTATTAGGACTGGAGGCCAGATTAGGTGAAAAACATCTCAAAGACACTGAAGAAATCAGGTATTTTCAAAGTGGCAAGGACAGATTAAATTCTACAGGCACCTTATGAACCAGGAAAAGTCCTTCCTGAACCATTTACAATTACCTTTTAGAAGTCATGGAGGTCCCAGAGTACTTCAGTGGGCATAGCACTAAAAAGCCTATCTTTTAAAAAGGGGAAAAACTAAGAGAAATAAGGAACAGTGAGCTATATTTCAAAAGTCAGAAAGAGAACTAAAAGAAACAGGGGATGATAAAGTGATGAGAAGCAGCCAGCATAGATTGATCAAGAAAGAAGTCAAACCAGGCTTGTTTCTCCCTGCTACATGAAACACTCCCTTTCCCAATCTTTAGTCCTTTCTCTAAATATTCCTTAGAAAATTTCACGCACTCCCACAGCCCTGATAAAAGAATCCCATTATAACCTTT